CTATGTGTCTTTGTGTGTGTGTGTGTGTGTGTGTGTGTGTGTGTGTGTGTGTGTGTGTGTGTGTGTGTGTGTGTGTGTGTGCGTGTGTGCACTAATTACTTTGTCCACAAAGTGCTATAACACTGGCCCAGAGGAGACGGCATGACAACAAACTACTAGAGAAAGCAACAAGAATGTCCACCTGCTTTGACATGCGCTTGTGTGAGAGGATTCACGAGAGATTCCACAAATGTAGTTTAAATAAAGACATATCGCATTGGAAAAGAATTAATCTTTTTACTGTGCGTGTGTCAAGTTCCTGTGTTTTTGTGGATTATCCAGTTTGACCAAAAATACTTCTGTGTGAGCTTCTGTGACAAGTGCTTTCTAGGACAATTGACCTTATGGGTTAACAACAACTTTTATTCTTTCTTCTTTTGTAAATTCACTATTTATATTGATTATAGCTATTATGTAGTACATGTGATACTTCACCAGAATACTTCATTATTAATTGTCAATCATGCAATCCATTTACTGATATCACAGTTGCCCATGTGAACGCAGATCTGGGTAACTGAAACCGGTGCTACTTACGTGTCTCTCATCTCACACAACTTCTCGCTTCCTCTTGTTTCATACAAACTCAACTGATGCTAGCTAGTGTCCCAATGCCTCTCAGGACTCAGTTTTAAAGAAATAGTTCACCCAAAAAATAACATTTGCTGAAATTTTAGTCACCCTCAGGCCATCCAAGATGTCAATTAGTTTAATCGGAACAGATTTGGAGAAAAGTAGCTTTACATCACTTAATTCATTAATGAAACCACTGCTAAACAACAGCTGACAACAACAACAAAAAAACACAATAATCCACAAGCAATCCACATGACTCCAATCCATCAGTAAATGTCTTGTGAAGTGAAAAGCTGCATGTTTGTAAGAAATAAATCAATCATTAATATGTGTTACATTTAAACAGTTGCTTCTGGCTAAAATGTGAGTCCTCTATCCATAATATTGCTTTCTACAGTAAAAAAGTTGTCACGTCAATCAGGAAAGAAATATGTACAGATCAAACAGTGTTTACAAGTGAAAACAGTTATGTCAGTAGATTTTGATGTTAGAGGACAGCAGGCGATGTATGTTTTCACTAGAGGAAGCGTTATAGATTATGGAAACGTATTTTGGCAAGAAGAGATAAAATTAAAATGCCTTGATTTATTTGTTTCTAAAAAAACACGCAGCTTTACACTTCACTAGACGTTAATTGAAGGACTGGAGTTGTGTGGATTATTGTGATGTTTTTATCAGATGTTTGGACTCTCATTTTTATGGCACCCATTCACTGCAGAGGATCCAGGAGGTACAGATAGTGAGTACAAATTTTCAGCAAATTTAAATTTTTGGGTGAACTATTCCTTTAACAATTTTGTTGTAGTGTTCATCTTGTTAATGGTTTTGTACGTTGTAGTTTATTAGTGAAAGCTTTAAGATAGACCTAATATACATGTACGATTATATAATAATTTCAAGAACAATATTTTATGTTTTTATCAATATTTATTTGATGAGTATTTGTGTAAGCAGGATAATGTACAGTCAACCGTACTTTACACAAAACAAAACTCCCTCTGACAAGGTTTATTTAGCGATAATGACTAGCTGACTGTACATTTCTTAGTTCACATTTCAACCCTTCTTCTATCTAAGTGTTGAGAATCTGCCCGTACGTATATGCATAGAATAATGAAAAAGATAACTGCTCAATGGGGCATGGTTATTGATTTTTTTTCTTCTCTTTCTCTAGCCGTTGACACATGTCGGCTTGCAGTCTAAAGACAGTCTCTGAGATGTCTGTCTGCAGCTGTTTTGAGCTTTGATACATAGCTAGATTGTTGTGTGCTCGGGGGGGGTGGGCACCTCCTGGAAAAACCAAGGTGACTCCTGTAGCTTCTGCAATAAAGAGACCAGGTTTTTAAAGTATACTCGTATGTCCTTGACTATGCAAGAGTAACCATTTAAAGGGACTTTGATGTGTGTGCTGCACTGTGTGCTGGTAAAAAATTTGCAATTACATGTCACAAAGTTAATTGAACCAAATGTCAAAAGGATACCTAACATGGCTAACTATGAACACAGGGATGCCCTGCTCATCCTGGCATTTGTTTCTGGCCCCAGCTGGTGCCATCAGGTTTTTGTGAAGCATTACTCAATTAAAATGACTGCTTGCATCATTCAAAGCCAACTTATTTTTAATTGTTCAGTAATGTTTCTAAATAAGTGTGACTTCACTGACATTGATTATAAACTGATGTAACACTGAAGTAAAACAAAAAAATAAAAAAATTAATGCTCTTTTGATAAAATAGCAGATAAAGACAGAACCCTACCTCTAAAAAAGGACAGACTAACCACACATGTTGCCAAGCAACTAACTGAGAATGTGAGCAGAGGCACAGTGAAGTTTATGCTCCAACTTCTGATGTGCAATTTTAGCATTTACAGGTCTACAGATGATATGTAGAGATGCTTATTTTCCTGGTTAATAAAAGTAACTTGTAAACAGTAGTTGTGAGACAACACTTTATATTAGGCTACCTTCAGTTTACCTTTCCTATATAGTGCTGTACATTAATACACATTAAAATAGATAGAAATGTCAAAAAACTTTATACCTATAGTTGTATTTATATTCATATTTCAAAGTACATCATTTATTAAATATTGGACTTTTAAGTATTATAGACTTACCCCCGGTTTCACAGACAAGGCTTGAGCCTAGTCCCAGACTAAAATGCATGTCTGGGCTGTTTTAACTGAAAGAAACTTGCACTGATTGATCTTAAACATGTCAGTGCCAGTGTTTTGTCTCAAAAATGCACAGAAGTAATGTTATTTTCTAAGGCACGTTTAGAAAAGATTCTTAATTGTCCTAATTGAACTATGGCCTAATCCAGTTGCATAAACTTAGACTCTATGTTAAGACAGTGCCTTAAGTAAGAGTTTGACCAACTAGCAGTTGCCCAATAAGTAAATAAGTCTTATTTTTAGATTTAACCTAGATTAATCTATGATTTTCTGTAACTGAATTTTAAAAATGTATGACCAGTCTTAAAGAAAAAATTAGATGACTAACTTTTAAGACCTATATCTGTGTGTGTGTGTGTTTTCATTTGAAAAAGTTTCCCCAGAAATACTTCCCTATTTAATGTATATTTTTCCTTACAAATTGTGTTATCAGCATAACAATTTGAGTAAATGAAGCTGCATAAAAGGCAGGGGCTGATGCCCCCTTCTAGAACAATGTAACGTGTTCAATGTTTGTTTAAATTGTAACATAAATTATCATGTTTAGTGATTCTCATTTCTTTATCACAAAAAGCTAAAACTAGCACCATTTTTGAGAGAAATTGGATTTAAAACTTTTTGAAATCTTTATAATCTCTCTTTTTAACCCATCTCATGGTGTATGATGCTGAACTCTCATATGAGTTTCTAAATGTCTGTGTTATTCTTTGCACTGTTCTAAACATTAATATTGTATGTGCAACAATAGCATGCACTGGCTCAGTGGCCTTGCACCTGATTTAAAAAAGTGTTTTTTTTTTTTTTTTCAAAAATTATTATTTCAAATGGTAGTGATGAGTGTACTGAGAATAACTCTTTCATATTTTCATCTCTTTAATAGTTTGTGTTGTTTTGATGTATTTTAAAGAGTTGGCAGTCAAAAATAAAACTGCTGGATGATGTATTCTTCATTCTTTCTGACAAATAACAAAAGATAATGTGAATTACAGTATGTATTTTTTTTTATTGCAGTGCACATAGAATCCACGGATCAGTACTCACTACTCCCTACCCATGAGTACTTTAAAATAAGATACTCTTTTATATTCATATTATTATGAGAAACTAAGTCATTATTATGAGATAGTTTCTCATTATTATGAGAAAATAAGTCATTATTACGAGAACGTTTCTCATTATAACGAGATACTAAGTCATTATTACGAGAAAGTTTCTCATTATTACGAGAAACTAAGTCATTATTATGAGACAGTTTCTCATTTTTACGAGAAAATAAGTCATTATTAAAAGAAAGTTTCTCATTATAACGAGATACTAAGTCATTATTACGAGAAAGTTTCTCATTTTTACGAGAAACTAAGTCATTATTACGAGAAAATAAGTCATTATTACGAGAAAGTTTCTCATTATAACGAGAAAATAAGTCATTATTATGAGAAAGTTTCTCATTATAACGAGATACTAAGTCATTATTACGAGAAAGTTTCTCATTTTTACGAGAAAATAAGTCATTATTACGAGAAAATAAGTCATTATTACAAGAACGTTTCTCATTATAACGAGATACTAAGTCATTATTACGAGAAAGTTTCTAATTTTTACGAGAAACTAAGTCATTATTACGAGAAAATAAGTCATTATTATGAGAAAGTTTCTCATTATAACGAGATACTAAGTCATTATTACGAGAAAGTTTCTCATTATTATGACTTACAGAATTATATTTTTTTATTCAGTGGCGGAAATAGAAACGGGCTTCCATAAAAATCAGTGATCAGTTTAAAAAAAATGAAATGAATGAATGAATGATGTAACCAACTTTTTTTTTTTTTTCAATTTAACATATAGCTTAGTTATGACCAATTTTATTACATTTAAGCCACATTTAAAAGTGCAATTAAATCGCAGTTCTTATTTCCAAATATATTGTCTTCTAAATTGCTCAAATGATCTACATTGGAATTGTTATGGAGCCTCGTTCGATTCCTTACTATTTCTATCCCTAGTGAACAATATCTAATGGACATGTTGGTTATGTTTAAATGTACTCCTTACATTGTAAAGATATAAAAGTCGTGACTATATCTTTAAGTTACTCTTGGATATATTTTAGTTTGGCTAATGAATGAGTAACCCCGCACTGAAACGCTCTAATGATGTAATATCCGCTGAGAGTCTCCACACATCTCTCAAACTTTTCTGCGCCCGGAGCGACTATGAGAGCGCACGCACTTTCAGCAGCTCTATCGAGGGTCTCCGATCCCACGATACTGATAAGAAGCTCGATCTGAAACATCGGAGAGTGAATCAGGTTGTAAGAGAGACGTGGGAGGGAGACTGGAGGCAGAATGCGGGCGCTGTTCGTGGTGCTGAAACCGCTGTGTTTTCTCGCTCTACTCGGCTACTGCCCTTCCGCGGTGAGTGCTGCGCACCTTTCTGACTTTACATAGACAGAAACTTGACATGTCTGAGTCCCACTCCTACTACACCAGTGAGTCATAGGAACGAGATATGTGCAAAGTGATAAACAAAGCTGGCAATGTATTTAAAGATGTTATGCGATAATATCCTTTTAATTGTAACCTCAGCGAGAAGGAGAAAAGAAAATGCAATAAAACTTAAGCTGGGTTAAAATCTTGATATATGTGGAATACATTACAAAATGTGATTTAAAAAGCGGAAAGCCTGCATTTCTGTAATTATCTCTATGATTGCAGCACAAATGGTCACAGATAATATTTTTAGACCCTTTATTGCTGTTATAGTGAATGAGATAGTGCACATTAAAGCATTCAGCAAGCCTTCTCTCTTATATCTGCAAAGCATTGGCTGTTTATTTCATCTTGGGTGTTTGGTCACACTTTATATTAGGTGTCTTTTTTAATGCTGTATATTTACATTAAAATACATTTTGTGTACATTTTGTTCGTGTTGAAACTATCATGAAAATTGCATTTTCTCCCCATTTTTCCTTTCTCCTTTCAACATCTAGTACTAGAATATATTAAGGTTTACACTGCAATACAAATTAAGATAGATGTTTCCACTTACAAGAGTAACCTATAATTACAGTAATTGCATTCAGTTACTTTATAAGTACAGTATAACAGCATGTATTGTATGTGCATAAAATTGACATTGCAATACATTTTAACTTAACTGTAACCTGATATCAAGGATTATTCTAATACACTCTTAAAAATAAAGGTGCTTCAAAAGGTTCTTCAAGCGATGCCATAGAAGAACCATTTTTGGTTCCACAAAGAACCATTTAGTCAAAGGTTCTTTAAAGAACCATCTCTTTCTTACCTTTTTATAATCTGAAGAACCTTCTTTCGCCACAAAGAACCTTTTGTGAAACAGAAAGGTTCTTCAGATGTTAAAGGTTCTTTATGGAACTATTTAGACAAAAAGGTTCTTCTATGGCATTGTGAAGCACCTTTATTTTTAAGAGTATACTATTTTGTTGAATTGAGAGTTCAATAGTAATCTACAGTATTTGGTGTTGATAAAGTGTTTTAAAGAGGAAATATTTGTCTTCCTCAGTGTTCTGAGTCTATTCTCAACACTACTATTAATCTGTACACAATCCCTAATGGATCTATTTTAGCACCGGGTCGAGATTAGATCTGCATTGTTGAGGCACAGCCAATTATTTGTCATGTGACACCCAAGTAACTGCATGAATTTTATGTCATGTCATATGTGTCCAGAAATAAAATAAATATGTAGTATCAGTGAGAGTTTCATGAGGATCTCTCTTCCAGTCTTAATAAACCCAGCTGCAGGTCTTATTTGAGGAGTAAAATCCCTCTGCTCATATTTCATAATGGCAGTGAACTAGCAGGAAGTACCCATCCAACTTGGATATGTTATAATTTGCTGAAATTGCAGTTAGTTGTTAGTTGCAGCGGCATCAGGAAGTGTGCCAGAGTGTGTAAAGAACTGTGTTTTTCAGCTCGCCTGTAAAAGGCTAGTCCCCAGAGCCGGCCGTTCAGGGCTCGCTGTGAGAGTGGGGGAAAAAATGAATGTGGGTGTTTACAAAGTGCCTTTATTGTTGCAGACAATCTAGGGAAATTTGGGGAGATGAATGCAGAGAGAGGCTTTATCATGAAGGTGTTGCGACGGGGTGCTATTTGTCATCAAAACATGCTATTTATGCCCTGCCTTGTTTTAGTGGCGTGTGCTTGAATTGCTTTCAGAATTTTGATGAATCAGTGTGAATTGAAATGAATATTCAGTGGAATACACATTAACTGAACAATATTTCTCCTCTGCTTTTATTATACGATTTAAAATGAAGCCATATAGTGTCTTATAGAGTCAGAGACACAGATTTAAAGGAATAGTTCACCCAAAAATTAAAGTTTGCTGAAAATGTACTCACCCTCAGGCCAAAATGTAGATGAGTTTGCTGCTATCCAGGAGGAGATAGGAGCGTATGATTATGAGGAACTCCAGCAAAGGGTCCTCGGCTTGGAGGGAAGACTGAGGAACTGTATGAACAGACTCAGTGAGTTGAACTCAACATGACTTCCGTGGTATTTTCTTTTGTGGTATGGTATTTGTTCCTTTAAAGTTGAAGATGTGTTGACATTACTTGTCATTCTCCACTGTGTCAGCCTGTGGTAAGTTGATGAAAATCACGGGGCCCATCACTGTAAAGACATCAGGAACGAGGTTTGGAGCTTGGATGACAGACCCTCAGGCTTCACCTAAGAACAATAAGGTAATAATGACCATTATAATGGACAAAAATGATGGAAAAATTAGTTCCTGGAAGCAATGCCGCTGAAAAGTGGGCAAACACTGTGGCATAGCTGTTGTTACGGAGTAATCAGAACATGAGACGTGCGGATCCATGTGTAAGGCTTTATTACAAAGGCGTGGTCAAAAACGGGCAGGGGTCAGACAACAACACAGGTACATCACAGGCAAGGCAAAGAGCATTCCTAGGGCAGGCGAGGGTCTTCGATCGGCGAATGTAATCCAGAGGGCAAGGCAAATGGGTAATCCACAAACAGGTGATAGTTGGACAGAGTCCAAACGATAAGGCGACAGAAATCCAAGGCAGGCAGAGAATCAGGCAACCAGGCAATCAAATAACACAATGAGGCAAGACTAGACCAGAACTAGGAACAAATACAAGATTAGGAAAAGGGCTCTGTAACGTTGCTATCACTAACTGAGCGATATGCGCAAACAATACTTGGCGTTGAATGGTGGTGTGAGACTGATTTTTATAATGTGTGTTATTGGTAGTAGCTCTGTATGATTGATTTCAGGTGAGCTTGTGATTAGAGCAATGGAGCATGGGAAATGTAGTCCAGGGTGATGTGTAACAGTCTGTGTAGTGTGAGAGGCCATGTGGAAAGCGGGTGACCTCTGGTGGTGAGTGAACGGAAGTTTATAGACCGGATTCGTGACATAGCCCCCCTCCCAAGGAGCGGCTTCCAGACGCTCCTAACTCAATATAATCCAGGAGGGCAGTGGAGCGGAGGCCAGGTCCACATGGAAGTGGAGAGACCGGGGACTGAGGCAGAGTTGGCAGAGCAGAGCACCAAGGCAGAACCGGCGAAGTAGGAAGCTAAGGCAGAGCAGAGAACCAGGGTGGAGCCGGCAGAGCAGGTGGAGCTGAGTACCACCATAGCTGAGCAGACGGGTCCGAAGATCCCCATGGCGGAGCAGAAGACCACCAGGCCGGAGCAGAAGGTCACCACGGAGGAGCAGAAGACCACCTGGCCGGAGCAGACAGAGCAGAAGACCACCACGATGGAGCAGACGGGACAGAAGCCCACCAGGGCGGAGCAGAAGACCTCCACGGTGGAGCAGATGGAGCAGGAACCCACCAGGGCGGAGCAGACGGGACAGAAGCCCACCAGGGCGGAGCAGAAGACCTCCACGGTGGAGCAGATGGAGCAGGAACCCACCAGGGCGGAGCAGACGGGACAGAAGCCCACCAGGGTGGAGCGGACAGAGCAGAAGCCCACCAGGGTGGAGCAGACAGAGCAGAAGCCAACCAGGGCGTGTCGGCAGACCACCAAGGCGGACCAGAGTGATCCGGATCCCATGGTGGGAATGGGGTCTAGGGAAAACTGAAATACAAGATACAAGCAGTGCATTTACGACATCAAGGACCAGAATTGGAAATACAGTGGGCTTATTAAAAGTCTCTTTGGGCATGACTGACAGGGTTAAAAGTTCAGTGTTGGTCTCCTCAAGAGTGGCTGGACAGACAGACAGTTCATAGTTGGGGGCATTGGCAGAAACTGATTGGGTTGACAGAACACATTTAGATTCAAGAGCAGAACTCAGACAGGCAGACAGTTCAAAACTGGATGTATTGACTGAAAATGGACTAACACACAATTCATAAACAAATACTGGGCAGGCAGATAGTACGACATCAGAATTGTCAGTGGGATCTGAACAGACGGGTGATTTAACATCAGGCTCATTAGTAGGTACCAGACAGACAGATGGTGCAAAATTAGATGGATTAAGAAAAACTGGACTCGTAGACATTTCAGTGACTGAAACTGGATAGACAGATGATTCAAAATCAGACATATTACTTGAAATTAGTGGACAGACAGATAATTCAGGAACAGATTCATGGTATGACACTGTGTGGACAGACCATTCATTGTTTAACTCCTTGACTGAGACTGGCAAGACAGATAGTTCAGAATTAGACACACTTGGGGAAACAGAACAAGCAGACAGTTCCTGAATAATGTTTCATTTAAAGTTCACTTTATGGCAGTGACAGGGTTAACGGGAAGGACATGGGGTGCATTAATAGTTTCTGGGCTCATGACAGGCGGGGTTAAGGGTTCAAAGGCAGAGTTTTTGGCTGTGAAAGACAGTTCACAATTAACCCCCATGGCTGGTTCAGAACAGGACAAGAGTTCAGAGATGGCCTTCTCGGCTGGTTCAGAACAGGCAGATAGTTCATAGACGGCCTCCTTGGCCAGAACAGGACAGACTGAGAGTTCATAGGCGGCTTCCTTGGACGGAACAGGACAGGCAGAGAGTTCATAGGCGGCCTCCTTGGCCGGAACAGGACAGGCAGAGAGTTCATAGGCGGCCTCCTTGGCCGGAACAGGACAGGCTGAGAGTTCATAGGCTGCCTCCTTGGCCGGAACAGGAAAGGCAGAGAATTCACAGATGGATACCACTGACACCTCTGGAGGTTCTGCAGCAGATGCCGCCACCTCTGGAGGTTCTACAGTAGTAACATCAAGAAATGGGTAGAGTTCATTAACATTCTCCTTAACAGGACCAGTACGGAGTTCAGCAACGTCCTTTTGACCTCGACAGGACAGACTGAAAACTCATAAACGTCCTCCTTGGCCGTGGCTGGGCAGGCAGAGAGTTCATAAATGAATACCACTGACACCTCTGGAGGTTCTGCAGCGGTAACATCAGGAAACAGGGAGAAGTCAGTAACGGTCTCTTCGACCACAACACAACAGGCTGAGAGTGCATCGCTGGGCGCCACCACCATGCAAGGAGCTGAAGTGAGCGCCTCCACCTCGGGAGGTTCTGTGGTGGTGTATGCAGCCCAAACACCATAAAGCGATCCCTATCAAGGGAAACGCTTCAGACAGGGGAATCAGTTCAGGAACAGGAGGGCTAGAGTGAGTGGGTTTGGGGATACCAACTGCGCATGCAGACACCAGCGGTGCATCCCTCACACTGGATACCAGACTGGGATACCGAAGGACTGACCTTGATAATCTGGGTGCAACAGACAGGACGTGACAAGACTCTGGATGATCAGTTGTGACGTGACAAGACTCTGGAAGATCAGCTGTGATGTGACGTGACTCTGGAAGATAGGCTGTGATATGACGTGACTCTGGAAGATAGGCTGTGATGTGACGTGACTCTGGATGATCAGCTGTGATGTGACGTGACTAGGACTGACCTTGATAATCTGGGTGCAACAGACAGGACGTGACAAGACTCTGGATGATCAGTTGTGACGTGACAAGACTCTGGAAGATCAGCTGTGATGTGACGTGACTCTGGAAGATAGGCTGTGATATGACGTGACTCTGGAAGATAGGCTGTGATGTGACGTGACTCTGGATGATCAGCTGTGATGTGACGTGACTCTGGATGAACAGACGAGACGTGACTCTGGAAGATCAGCTGTGACGTGACGTGACTGAACGAACTGCTGAGAAATGACGAGACTCTAGAAGATCAGCTGAGATGTGACAAGGCTCTGGGAGATCAGCTGAGATGTGACTTGACTCAGGAATGGAAGCTGTGACTTGACTTGATGCAGAAAGATCAGCTGTGACTTGACTTGACTTGACTCAGGAAGATCAGCTGTGACTTGACTGGACTCTTGACAATCAGCTGTGACTTGACTTGATTCATGAAGATCAACCGTGACTTGACTAGACTCATGAAGATCAGCTGTGACTTGACTGGACTCTAGAAGATCAACGGGGATGTGACTTGGCTCATGAAGATCATCTGTGATGTGACTTGACTCATGAAGGTCAGCGGTGGCTTGACTTGACACAGGGATGGCAGCAGTGACATGACGGGGTGTTGTTGTGGCTGCCATTTTGCCAACGGGCTCCGCTGTCGCCGCCATTTTGTGACCGTGCTCTAGTGCGGCCATTACACGAGTGGACACAGTGTTGCGTTCTTCCGCGACACCCACAGTGAACGATGAACCAACAGTCAACAAAGCATAATCCATAAATTGAATGCGTGACGAACTAGGACCCTCCTGAATCATTCTTGACTTTAAAGGCTGGTTAAGACCATCACAGAAAAAGTCTATTAACATACAGTTCGGCAATTCTGAGCCATTTGCCAAAGCCAAATATTCCACAATGTAACCCTCGAGTGATCGTGTGCCCTGCTTGAGCGCTAGTAGCAAAATCGCTGCATTCATACCTGGCCAATGTTCCTTGGTGAAGCTGCTGGATCCCTGTCGGGCCGAATATTCTGTTACGGAGTAATCAGAACATGAGACGTGCGGATCCATGTGCAAGGCTTTATTACAAAGGCGTGGTCAAAAAATGGGCAAGGGTCAGACAACAACACAGGTACATCACAGGCAAGGCAAAGAGCATTCCTAGGGCAGGCGAGGGTCTTCGATCGGCGAACGTAATCCAGAGGGCTTGACCAAACATGATTGGTTTCAGGTGAGCTTGTGATTAGTGCAATGAAGCATGGGAAATGTAGTCCAGGGTGATGTGTAACAGTCTGTGTAGTGTGAGAGTCCATGTGGAGAGCGGGTGACCTCTGGTGGTGAGTGAACGGAAGTTTATAGACCAGATTCGTGATAGCCGTTATGCTTTTCAGCGGCATTGCTTCCAGGAAGTAGTTTTTTCCATTATTTTGGTCCATAAAAAAAAAAAAACTCAGATAAAGTTCAAAGGCACTAACAAAACCGACCAGCTCTGAGATCAATCACAACTTATAAACTTTGATTCGAAGCAAAAAAAAAAAAATAATAATTAGATAGAAAAAAGACAGGTAATTTAATATCAATTACATATTCAAATAAATACAATAATTTAATATAAATAATTTACTTTTTTTGTTTTAAAAGTATAATTTTATTCATAAAGGACACATTAAAATGATCAAAAGTAACAATGAATGCTTTACAATTCTAATTAATTATGTTATTTTGAACTTTCCATTCAGCAAAAAGTCCTGGAAAAAATCACAGTTTATACACACACACAAAAAATAAAAAAATATTAAGCTGTTTTGAGCAATGATAATAAAAATGTTTCTTGAGCATCAAATCAGTATCAGGATGGTTTCTGAAGAATCATTTTAAAATCACACTGAATTATGGCTTCTGCTGAAGAATAAGAGAAAATGAATGATATTTTTACTTCCTGAACAATACTGTTGTGCTCCTTAGATGATGCATTTATAAAATGCAAGTTTCAAATGTTATTCATCACATTTGTAATGTTCTAATGCAGGTCTGGTACATGGACAGCTATACAAACAACAAGATTGTCCGTGAGTACAAATCAGTCAGCGACTTTGTAGCTGGAGTTGAGTCAAGAACCTACAACCTTCCGTTCCACTGGGCGGGAACCAATCATGTCATCTACAATGGCTCACTATACTACAACAAGTACCAGAGCAACATCATTGTCAGATACAGCTTTGAAAGTGGCCGGGTCATGACCCAACGAGCACTTGAGTCTGCCGGCTTCCACAACGTCTACCCATACACTTGGGGCGGATTCTCCGACATTGACCTGATGGCCGATGAGCTCGGTTTATGGGCCATCTATGCCACCAATCAGAATGCAGGGAATATAGTCATCAGCCAGCTGGATCCTCTGACCATCCAGGTGCTGAACTCTTGGAACACAGAATACTCCAAACGGAATGCAGGTGAGTCCTTCATGATCTGCGGCACGCTGTACATCACCAACTCCCACCTGACCGGTGCTAAGGTATACTACACTTATTCCACCAAAACCTCTACCTATGAGTACATGGACATCCCCATCCATAACAAGTACTTTCACATGTCCATGCTGGATTACAACGCCAGGGATCGTGCACTTTATGGCTGGAACAATGGCCACCAGGTACTGTTCAACGTCACGCTGTTCCACATTATTAAAAATGATGATGAATCCTGATGGATCTGCCCGGAGGTGAGAGGAAAACTTTGATTCTGTAGTTACACTGATCTGTAATCGCTGTGGTATTGCTATGAAATAATGGGTTTTATATATTTCAATCAAAAGATGTGCTTAGTTTGAGGTTCAGTGCCTCTGGAAATGTCAGTCAGCATTGCACTCCTCCATTTGTAAAACAATTGTCATTAAACTCAAACTCGGACTCAGATAAGGACATTCATGGACTTTTAAAGCTCTGTTTAAATGTTGTTTTTGCAACTTTCAGTGTGTAGCAGTCGTGTTCAGCTATAATTCGTGATTCAACAAAGAATGTAACAAACACTTTAGTAACTAGAAACTTAGCATTCAATCATTAAATAAAAAATCCTTATTATGGACATTATATACTGATCTATCAAACTGCATCTCTTAGTTTTAGCTTGTCGAATGTTTAGAGGAGTAAGGACATATTTTTCAATTCAATGTATGACTTACATTAAAAGGGATTATTCACCTCAAAATAAACATTTGCCATTACTTACTCATCTTTGTGTTGTGCCAAAACGTTATGGCTTTCTTTCTTCTGTCGAACACAAAAGAAGATATGTTGAGAAATATATCTACACAATGGAAATCAATGGGCTCCAATGTTTGTTCCCAGTATTCTTTAAAATATCATGTTCCACAGAGAGAAGAAAAGTCATGCAGATTTGGGAAAATGAGTAAATGTTGACAGAATTCTCATTTTTGTTTAAACTGACCCTTTAAAGCTTTCAAATCAATCCATGCTGAAATTATTTCACATTGTACAGTGTAATTACAATTAAAAATGTTACTTTAAGTGTTCATGGTTTGATGTTGTTTCTGTGTACTTCATATATATATAGTCTGAGAAAATAATTAATTTTAGAATAGTATCTCAACTTTCCCACAACCGCAGGCAGCAGTCAAATCTGTGGTGTTTTTGTCAGAAATGCTATTCAATAATGTTACCTCTACCTCATATTTCCAGATGTAATTCAACAAAGGCTTTGTTCATGCTTTCTTTTTTCTGCTCAGGGAAATTTATGGATGAGAGAACTTCTGAAATTTCTGAGGGCTTTTTGATTTTGCTTTTGATGTTGATGAGAAATGATCTTTCTAGTTTTCATCATCTCCAAAGAGTTTATTCTTCATTTAGTGACAATGATCAGACAAAAAAAAAAACGTCTCAGAACAGCTAATTATGCTGTTGTTTTCTCAAAACATGTGACTCAACTGGTTCTTTGCCAGAGGAAATATCAATATTCATATACCTAAATGACAAATACCTAAAACAAAGTCATTCATTTTCCCCTTAAAGGAACATTTGCACGCCTTGTTTCGCTTCCCATCTGCTGATTTGGAAACAAGCGACAGCGCTAGTCTGACGTACACAGTTTCACTTCAGTCAACACATCTCTGCAGGCCCCTAATTCAGATTCCATATTTCAGAGAAACATTATTCAGCAGAGTGAGAATAAGGGATAATGTACAGTCAGCTGGGCATTATCGCAAAATAAACCTGACAGGCGATCTCAGGATCAGGGCTTGTATCCTTCTAGATTCTGAAGGGGTTTCATTTGCTATAATAACCATCTGACTATTGCATATTTCCATGTTTATTGCATATAACAAATGAACATGAAAGATTGGATTTATTATTTATTATACAGTGCTGAGATTGACCAATCAGAATCAAGTACTCCAGAGAGCTGTGTAATAATTATGGCTAACTAAAGTGATATAAATGAATAAGTAAAGTTCTAGGTAAAAATATGATCTTGTTCTCTTGGACATAGTTAGATCAAAGCACATAGCATTTCCAAACGTTTTAGTTTTCCTAAGTTCATGATCAGTCAAAAAGCTTTTAGTTCCAGAGAGGAGTCCAAATGTGCTGACACTAAAATATTCAGCAGCTTTCAGCAAATTAAAAAGTTACTAAATTAGCACTGCAGGTGTGTGTATTAGAAATGATGTCCTTCCTAGTGACATATGTAATACAATTTAAAGTTGTAATATCCATCTGAGGCACCTGAAAAAATTAAAAACTTAAATTATATAAAAATATAATACTTTTTACTCTACCTGTGTTCAGCTCTCAGTAAATCAGTGATGTCCTCCATTTATCAATAAACACACTGTAATCCTGATTCAGTGTGCTTTATTTTTATTTACCAAGGGATACAATAATATGGATAAAACAATATGAAGCATTTATTTGTAAGGGAAATCATACCTTTATCTTCTTTTTACCTGTGAAATTTGGCTCAGATGACCACCTGCCCATTCAGTTCTGCTCACACATCACATGTCTCTATGACAGACAATATAATCACTAACTTGAATGAATGAGGGTCTCCTCGTAATTTGTCATGTGTGACCTGGCTCTGGTTAGCCCGGTGCTCTGGGATGTCTCAGTGTAGACTACAATGCCCATGACTAGCCGTTTGACTGACAGCTCCTGGGCAGATGAATCAGGCAGACTGTCACCCCGTATCAAAGCTGGGGCAGGTGTCGACAGAGACAGGCCAAGCATAGCATATAAGGCCAACATTAAAATTAACACCCCTTTCAGCAGGCAGCCAGAGATGCGGACAGAAAATGAAGGGGGAAAAAGAGAAAGCCAAATAAAAAAAAAGATGGATGAGATGAACAGAGGAGACACAGTGAGTAAATGGACTTAAGTTCCTGTGCACAAGCAGCAGGCATGTGGGTGTTGCATGCGTAAGAAGTTGAGTCACCTCTCAGGTGGTGTGTCAAAGTGATTGGGTCTGAATACATTAGACATAGTGAAATGAGAAAGATACCATGTCACATTGCTCAGAATGTGCATTTATTAGCTTTCAGCTGCATATAAACTGTGCCAATAACTGTGCACAGCCATTTGTTATGCTATTCTTTGGTTTAATACACACACGCACATATGTGTATGTAAATATTATATGTATACATTATATATTTATCACTATTAGTGAGATATAGTGATTTTACACTACCGTTTAAAAGTTTGGAGTCAGTAAGATATAAACAGCAATAAAGCTTTCCTGTATACTTGAAGCTTTCTATCTTATTAAATTCATATATATGTTAAAATAGCAAGATATAGAGTCCCAATCACCTCAACAGTAAAAAGTCTCCCAATTTACCTGAATTCACCTGCTAAAGGCCTTCTGTGGCAGGTAACGCAGTTGTTGAATAGGTATTGTGCAGGCCATAATGCCTAAATGGTGAATTGCAATGGGGTGGAGGTTTCGGAGGAAAAGGCTCTTGAAGTTGGTGTCCTCCTCCATCCCAGGTTCATTGCGAGCTCCGAAGTAAGCTTGTCGAAGTCTGTGGTAGTAAGCACGGGGATTTTCATGCCGGCCCTGTTTGGTGGCTAGGGCAGCGATCAGTCCGTGTTCAGACTCTGGGTCTGAGAATTCCCTAATAATGGCTTGTTTAAGCTGCTGGTAGTCTGACTGGATGTGTCCTGGCTGTCAAGGAAGCGTTGCACCTCTGGGCTAGGTGATCCAGAGCAGATAGAGTCTATCTTGATGGTTCACACTGGTCCAAGACTGCAGGTGAAAGTCAATGTCTTGCAGGTAGGCATGGACGTCATTGTCTCCTACAAGTTCTGGTGTGAATGCAGGGATGTTTCTGACTTTTTGGTTGAGGTCTTTGAGCGTCACTCCATGTGCTCTTTCAGGGCTCGCCTGAATTAATCCTTTTTCATTCTGCAGCTGCAGAAGTTTTCAGAACGTTGACTTGTGAAGTGTCAAGCAGAAAGCTTTGGCTTCCCCTTTTGCATCTGTGTACAGGGGTGAAGTGGTTTGCACTGTTGGCTGTGCAACGTGTCTTTTCCTTGAGTCCATGCAGTGTTTAGTATGATACTAGTGTGTGTGTGTGTGTGTGTGTGTGTGATAACACTAGTGTTTTTGGATGAATAAAATGAAGATCATAAAATGAAACAGTTAATGGCTAAAAATAGTGCAAGCCTTTGCTGTCTAATATAAACTTTTTCAAGATTCTGGATTCCCAATAGATACTAGTTGACTTAAGTGAGTGTGTCCCTTCCAGCTAAACCAGCCCAGAGCTGCCCTAAATCATCAGCATATCTCAATGCTCTCTTCCCCTTTGGTCATGGAAATGAAGGTCAATAGAAAGCATTGCTGATTTATCTCATGTATCAAGGTTTCACAGGCATCTGCATTTTATCTCCAAATGCAAATAGCTGGAAAAAAGATCTCCATTGGGGAAAATGCTGTTTGAGTCCCGTCAACAATCAGCCCAGGCAGGTCCTCTCAGATTTTATAGGAAGTTTAAATAATTAGTTCCCATTTCCCTCTTCAAATCCATCTAAAAAAGAAAAATCACCTTGCGTTATTTGTTTCTTTTCGTTTTATAGTGGCAGTTAACATGGGAGTTTCTTCTAGTAATGTTAACCATAATGCAAAACGACCATTCTAAAAACCCAGTAGAAGTTCCCAAAGGAATTAATGGCTCTAAAATGCAAATTATTTCACGGATTTTAGGACTGAACAGCATTATTTTGCTATCAGCAAACATAACAACGTCAAGAAACACGAGCTCTTGTGTACTGTAAAGAGAGCGAGTGCTGCCCACTAGCGGTTGAAAATGGAATACAATTATGAGCTCAAAATAAGTCTCACTGAACAAGGGCCATCATCAGACTTATATATATATATATATATATATATATATATATATATATAAAGACAGAAAAATGGTGTAAAAAAAAGTTGTTCATTATGAAAGAACCTCACCCACTACTTTCAATTACAACAGCGTTTACTCTCTGCTTGCTGAAACACTGTTCAGTCTGTCAGTTTAATTAGCGCAGTTGTCACATCCTCAGCACCTCTTGATGTATGCCTGATTCTATGGCTAATTATCTACTGGATTGATCACTGGAGACAACTGTCTATTTATTTCCAACAGTGGAGAGCAGTTACTCTCCATTTGACATTCTCATTAGGATTCAGCAGGAGATATTTAGTGGGCTGATAACATCTCATTCAACAAAAGCAAGGCAGGGTTACACATGAGAAGTTATGGCCTCTTCTGCTCATATGGACATGCTGGATGAAAACATTGATTCTTTAAGAGGCTGGGAGACGATTGTGTGGCATGGTTTTCATCTGGAGGACTGGAGGAGACATGGAGTCATTAATAGAGTAGCCTATTTTGAGGTAATTACTTGAATTACATTTTGGCTTTGCTTTTTCCCCACAGATGTTCTGTTTTAAATAGAAGAGCTAAAATATCTGAATGCGATGAATGGGTTATATTGCTGCAGTTAATGAACTGTTTTTGTGCCATATGTGTCCCCATGACTTACTTGTCAATTAACACAAGGAATGCTTAGTTAATTATTTAATAGCTTTAACTAAAGATAAACCAGTATATTTACTGATATTGACAATCTTCTGGTTATGGTTGTGTACAATTATAATGATTGGTTCTAACCATAACCCTATCGGGTACTACTAATTCATGTCTTCAGATGGTTCTGGAGAATAGCATATAACATCACCATTATAATTAGGTGTAAAATTTAATATTAATTAAAGAATTTAATAATGGAGCTGTGTACAAAAGAAGTACATTTTTAAAAAAGTTATATCTAATAAAAATAATTTAGCAAAATATGCATTTTACTAGCCTTGCCACATTTGCAAAGTTTGGTTCCTGTACTGAAAACTATGCATTCATAATAATAATAATAATAATAATAATAATAATACATTTCTCTTTCAAGTCAAAATTGACCCAAATGCATGTTGATGTTTTTAATATTTCTGAATATATTTAAGATATTTTAGAAAATATTTAATGTATTGTTTACGTAAATTATTAGGCTTTTTACATTTTATTTGTGCTGAAGTGAGATGTTCAAGAAATTCTTTAAATGTTGAAATGTAAGCCAAATTATTATTGTTGTTGTTGTTGTTGTTATTACTATTGTTATTATTATTAATTAGTGTATATCAATTGTCATACAAAAATACACAAAACAAGCCTAATCCATATTGACATTGGTTGTAAACATGTTAGGTGATCTCTAGATTTACAGTAACTCTGTTAATGTGTAGTAAAAGTAATTAAACATGAAGGATTTTTAACAATTTTACATTTTAAAAACACAATTTATTATTATTATTATTATTAATCAGGAAACTTTTTCATTTGATACATAGAATAAGAGGTTAAGAATGTTCCCTGTGAGAATCTCTGTGTGGGGTCACATCTACTTTTTCACAGTAGGGCTGATATCTCAGCAATGCTCTGCGCCACATTTCTTCATGCTTTAAGCCGGTAATCAAGGCTAGAATATCAAGAAAAGGCTGGATACAGTTAAAGCGTGATGGGGGGCCGTCTCGCCTTACCAGAAGGATTAAACTCAAAGCACTTGATGAAATGATAGTTGACAGTGTTATTGGGGTTCAGAGGTCTGTGAGGCAGGGTGGAGCGGGGCTGATAAATTGCCCCTCACCGTCAGAGACAAATATAGACCAGCCTGCAGCTCAAATCCAAGACATGCCCCTCGCGTCTCTTCACGGGTGTGCGTCTGTGTGCATGTGCCTGCACTGTAGGTTGACTAGATGACAAACTTATTTCTGCAGACACAGATCACAAATACTCTAAATAAAATATATCAGGCCCTGTTTTCATGCAAGCTTGACAGTGTTTGAAATCTCAAATTGTGGTAACCTGAGCAAAACTATTTAACTATGTCAACAAGATACTCTGGCTGCGATACTCAACTCGATATGCCTGTGAGGTCATCATAAGCATTCCATCACTTACCATGTGGCTGTAAGGGTCTGATCGCATCTGTACACCAGCCACCAAAACCAGGGCTCACCTACAGCCCTCAGCAGGCATCATGCAATGTGTGGATTTAAGGAATCTCTTTGCCGTAGCCCAATTCATAAAGGCCAGATGTGACCATGGCCTGAAAGCTGGGCTCACCGAGAATAAGAATTATGTCTTTTTTGAGGTGGAGATCCTGGACCTCAAGAGCAAGGCACAACTCTGCTACCTGGATAAGGTGCATTTAGCAGTGATATTTTAGTATTATATATGTACTATTATGGTATTTATTAACATTTTTGAATTGGTTTGTATTTATTTTTTGTCATTTTTAATAGTATTTCTTTTTAAAAGATATTTCTATTCACTTTTTATTAATTTCAGTTTGTCATTTTAGTACTTTAAATGAAAATTAAAAATGTTGCTTTGACAACTAACTCAAATATATATGTTTTCATATATGTTTATATTTATAGACATTTTCAATATTTATAATTAATTGTATTTCAATTAACAAAAAAAGTGTTTTTAACAGTTTTTGTTTTAACATCTGTTAATGATAACAACACTGCGTTGGGTCAGAAATCATATTTGAGTAAACAAAGGCTTCTTGTGAGGGAGCTACAGCTGAGAAAATTCTTGAACTTTCTCAGGTGGAGCCCAACGCCACCATTGCAGAGATCAAGACATTGTTGCACAAAATTTGTAAGTGTTTTTGTTCTTACACAATCATATATGCTTATTCAAACTGTGCAGCTTACATACCTGATGTAATATGACCTGGCTGTTTTAAATATTAAAATTTTTGAAATCCCTGCAGACCCCAAGTTTTATCCATCAAGACAGGCACTGAAGCTGCATCCAGGTGAACCTTCCCATCCATATATTATCTTTTATTTTATTTTATTTTATTTCATTTCGTTTCATTGTGTTTTATTTATTTTTTACATGATTTATTTTACTTACATACCTGATGTAATATGACCTGGCTGTTTTAAATATTAAAATTTTTGAAATCCCTGCAGACCCCAAGTTTTATCCATCAAGACAGGCACTGAAGCTGCATCCAGGTGAACCTTCCCATCCATATATTATCTTTTATTTTATTTTATTTCATTTCGTTTCATTGTGTTTTATTTATTTTTTACATGATTTATTTTATTTTTTTTTTACTTTTTAGATTTTTTATTTTATTTTGTTCTGTTGGACATCCTGTGTATTCCATTGCCATTTCTAAAATGTTTGTTCAAAAATGTTCATCAAACCAAAAAATCTAGAAGAATTAAAGTCTAGCACAGTAGCCAGATGCTTTTGCAATCTTAGATCTGCAACAGCTGTGACACATATGTGCACATATGCACTTCTCCTGATAGAATGTCAGGCTTCATATCACAATGGAGAATGCAAGAGTGAGAAAACTTCAGTTAGTTAACAATATAAACAAGAAAAGTTGTTTTTATTGGGATTTTTTATAACATTTTTAACTGACGTGCATTTATTTTGACATTTCTTCTTATTATGACTGAGTTGATTGATTCTCAGAGGGAAAGGCCCTCAGTGATGATGATGTGCTGGAGGATCTACCGGTTGGCACGACCGCAACAATGTTCTTCCAGGACCTCGGCCCACAGTTAGGCTGGACTATGGTAAAGAAAGCATCTGATACATGCTCATTTAGACAATAGCAGCTCGTATAAGTGTGTATGACAATAATGGTTTTGTTGGGGGCTGAACGTAGGTATTTCTGGCAGAGTGTCTTGGGCCGCTTTTCATTTACCTGCTGTTCTACTATCGGCTTCCATACATCTACGGGCACGAGTATGACTACACCCAAAGTCCATTTAAAGTTGTCAAGTGAGTTCAGAGTGAAAACCCTTATTCAGATGAGCTGAACTTTACGTGCTGATGGACAGAATAGTTAACACACTATTACAAATCATTTCTATTTCTTAAATGCCTGATCTAACTATTGCATTCAGTTTTTTTGGTGTAACCCAGTGGTTCTCAACTCTGGCACTCGAGGTCCACTTTTTTGGAGTTTAGCTCCAACCTTGATCAAACTCACCTGCCATAACTCCTGAAGACCTTGTTCAGGTGTGTTTGATTAGGGCTGGAGCTAAACTCTGCAGGAAAGTGGACTTCGAGTGCCAGAGTTGAGAACCACTGGTGTAACTTAATGTATTTTGATTGGTTCAGTGGTGTTAAATAGTATTTCTGACTTTAGATGTTATCGCATGAATCACATTTTCAAGTTTTAAAAAGTGCAGCTCATTTTTTCAGTGTGAAAATTAATAGTGAATAATATACCAAAGGTGTGGCAAATGGTTTGTGGTTTATATTTGACCCTGCTGATTCAGGCTGGCTTGTTGGTGCCACTCTCTTCATTACATTAAGAGGCTTGTGGAAACTATTTTTATCCATCGCTTTTCTGACGGAACATTACCTTTACGCACCATCATGCTGGTATGTGTATGTCTGCATTTTTTCATACGAAATTGTCACAGTATTTACTGTTTTTGGCACATTAGCTAATGTGTCTGAAGTGTTTATGACATTGGCATTAGTTCAGTGGTGTCAGTGAAGCATTGAGGAGCTTTGGGGGGGATATTTGGCTGCTTTCCATTAAGCGTCCTCTTGCTGGTTTAAATTATGCCCCTACAGTATCTTTCAACACACTCAGAATACATATGGTGTGACCATATGGAAGAGTCGTTCAAAATATTGCCTGCTCATGTGAATGCTAATCATGCAAATGAGCGAGCTTAAATTAAGTTAAACATAGCTAAAGTATACAATTAAGGTTTGCATTTAGTATAAAGTTAAGGAGTTATTCTTTGAGCAGTGACTGTGTGTTATATTAGACATGATCCTTACATGAATTTAAACCGTGATTCTGTAGCTCTGTCTGTATTACTGGGGATTTGCAGCATGGCAGGCATATTACATCAACCATCCTCTCTACACCCCACCAAGTAAGTGCTCATTATGTCACACATTACATTAGTTTGTGAGCCTCATATTAACTTCTGGTTGTTTCTCTAGCTTATGGGAGACTTCAGATCTACTCTGCACTGGCAATGTTTTTGGTATGTGTTTGATTAACCTATGATGATGATTCATATTTGAATGATGTAGGGACAGATTTCACAGAAAGTTACATACATACATTTACTGTTTTGAAGTGCTCGAAGTGGCACACGCTGGTGACGTTATTTATGTGACCATCTACTCTGACAAGATGTCGTGTAGCCATAAGTACTGGCACATCGAACAATAATGTACTTCCACATTATTTTAGTTGTCAACCACTAGAGGACCACATGTTACGTAGTGTACATTAGCTTTAATTTTACATTACTGTTTTTCTTCATCAGCTCTTTGTTCATTTTATGCAGGTCTGTGAGTTTGGAAATTTCTCAGTTCATCTGATTTTGAATCGAATCAGCTGTAATGGTGAGTCCTAATAAAGATTCATCTCTGTAGTTGTGTGGGCATAAACATGGCCAATCAAGACAGACAATGAAACCTAGTGATTGCGATTAATTCCCATTTCTTTGTTCCTTTCATAAAGGACTGTGTGGGTGTGCACAGAAAAAATTATCTGTCACATTAATACCTTCTTCAGAGACTATGCATTCTCCAGACTGAATCCTTAACTCTTCAGTTTCTTAGCTATATTAGATGTTTCCATTGCTGGATAACCATAGGCTCTTCTCACACATCAACAGGGTCCAGGCCTAAAGAGATTCCTTATCCCACAAATAATCCATTCACTTGGCTCTTTTTCTTTGTGTCCTGCCCAAACTACACATATGAGGTTTGTCAAGTCCACAGAATAACCTGTTTCATGTCAAAAAAGCAGTAAAAGAGACATTTGGAATGTCTGGGGCTGTCCACACCTGTGGAGAGCAGCATGTGAAATGTTTCTGGATGATTACGGGGATCTTGAGGAATATTGTCTGTGTTTTGTGTAGTGATGTAAAATTGGAAAATTTGCATTTATTTCCAGGTGGGATCATGGATCAGCTTCACAGCAATGACACAATGTGTTCCAGGTAGACAGTATTCCATCACACACCGTCTGCACACTACAATAAACAGTCCAAGGCTGCATCTCTCTCAAACTGCCCATATTTGAGAAAAAAAAGTTTGTTGATTTCTAATATCTAATTATTGGGGGGACTTGACCCCCTCAATGTCTATGGTGGATATGGTCCTGATCAGACATAAAAATATGTTGTGGACTACTGTGCAGTAATTTAATGGTTTAATGTTAGCTAAAGGATTAGTTCACCCAAAAATGAAAATTAGCCCACAAATTACTCACCCTCAAGTCATCCTAGGTGTATATGACTTTCTTCTTTCAGACAATTTCAGTCAGAGTTATATTAAAATCTGTCTTTGATCTTTCAAGCTGTTTAATGCATCAGTCCAAAAGAAGTTAAATAAAAAGCGCCCATCCATAAAAAAGTGTCTCGCAAGGCTCCGGGGGGTGAACAAAGGCCTCCTGTAGCGAATCGATGCGTTTTTGTAAGAAAAATATCCATATTCAAAATGTAATAATCATCATATCTTTAATGTAGCTTGCGCCAACAGTCCTACACGGAAGCAGTTCTGTGCGAATGACGTATGAGCTCAGCGTTGCGCATGTGCCGGTGAGTCTCGTGAAAACCAACCTATGTTTACAGGATCAAAGGAAGTAAACGTTTCCTTACTTTAGCAAAGGAAAACATTCTTCTTTACAAATCCTCATTTTGTACTTCTAATTAGTGACCGTTGTTTTGTTTTGAACTCTCCCCTGCGCTTCCGCGTTCGTCATTTCTGAGCGGCGCATTCGCAACACTGACCTCATATGTCATCTGCCCGGAGCTGCTCCCGTGTAGGACTGTTGGCATAAGCTACATTAAAGTGATTATTACGTTTTGAATATGGATATTTTTCTTACAAAAACGCATCGATTTGCTACAGGAGGACTTTGTTCACCCCTCGGAGCCGTGTGAGACACTTTTTTCTTTTTTTTTCCTTTTTTTTTCTTTTTTAAGGATGGGCGCTTTTTATTTAACTTCTTTTGGACTGATGCATGCAACACCCGCTGAGTGGCATTAAACAGCTTGAAAGATCAAAGACAATTTTTTATATAACTCCGACTGGATTCGTCTGAAAGAAGAAAGTAATTTGTGGGCTAATTTAAATTTTTGGGTGAACTAACCCTTAACTAGCGATTTTTTTTAATTATTTTTATTTTTTTACACAAACATTTCTTTGAAGAGCCGTAAATATAAACACAAGATTGAATGCGCGAAACATAGGGGTAGGGGAAAGTTTAGGGGTAAAGGGTAGAAATGGGATTGGGCCAAAGACCAAATCTGGGATTCAAAATCTAAACCTGGAAATTATTTAAAGTTTAAAAAGGTAAAAAATAAACATTGACACAAAATGAATGAGCTACATTTAATATTCTGCAAGCAAAATATTTCCCATCAGTGCTCTCTGGGTATAATATTTTATTGAGTATATATTTTGCTGCTCTTACCTAATAATAACCATGAATCTTTCATATCTTTGCAGTGGGAGTTTTCGCATTTTTGGGTTTTATTCAGATGACTATATGGGCTCGGGCAAAGCATAAAACCTACACTGAGCAATTCAAAGACTATCCTGACCTGAGAACAGCCATCATTCCACTCTTCTTCTAGATCGATTGGATGGATGATGAACCTACACACACTTTTCTCATTGGATGCGTCACCAAACATCATATTATAAGCAAGAAAATAAGTGTTTCTCTGTCAGACCTTGTGATTTATTCAGACACAGTTAAGATTGTGATAGTGTCTGAAGTGTGAAATGGTAATTACTATTAATTACATTAATTATGAAGAGAGTCTTACTGAGAATAGATTGAGGCTGTCCTGCAAGTTTGAGGAAGATAAAATAACAGAAACTTCTTGCAAAAAGGAGAGGGGGGGGGGGGGGTTTAAGGGAGGTGTATTCTTTGGCAAACTTAAACATTTGCTTGACATCAAAGAGTGTAAGTTGAGTCCCAAATGTGAAGGTCTGCAGACCACCAAGCAGAAAAAGTGTACAATGTGATTTTATTGATGTTGATTGTTCATTTTTGTATTCCATTAAAACATTTTGCAGAACATATCAGTGTTTGTGTCATAAAGAAAATGTTACTGAAGATTTTATTTCCCAGAAATAAGTGATCGTCAGTTTCCAAATGTCAGTATTTTCAAGACATGGTAAAACAAACTTATAGAATAGTGTTTTGTCATTGAAAGCTGTATTATTGCATATTAAAACTATTTGCTAATGAATACATTTAAACCTTCCCCCAAAAAGCCACATATCCTTCCCGATTGTCATTGGCTACACCACGAGGTCAAGGTTTGCCTGGTTCGCATGGTCAAGTTAGCCTGTTGTCATAATTACATCATCGTGTATTCACCTTCACTCTATGCAAAAATATCAAAAAAAAAAAAAACACCTGCAAGCCAAGCATTATACAACGTGAGCGCCAGCCAGCTGACCCTGAAAAATAGTAACAATAAAAAGTAACTTTGATGGAAAAATGCAGTGATGCTGCAAATTTGCAGAAGTTTCAGGTTCAGATTGTAGATTTCTAATTAATTTGAGTTTATACTTTTGATGTTTAAGCAGTACAAAAGTAATGTATTAATGTGTTACATTAGAATTAAGCATTTCATTGCGTGTGCATTCACAGGCACTGCTGTAACAGATGTGCTTTGGTTCAACATTTCAAAGATTTGTACAGCAAAACCAGCAAAACTGCAATTGCAAGAAAGAAAAACACTAATATTTACAAATGTATAAACATAGTAAACACATTTCAAATTGCATGGAAGTTTTGTATGTGGAAACTGAATATTTTTTAAGTTTTATACAAATATTTTTACTGTGCTGCATCAAATCACCAGTAATAAAGGGATAGTTCACACAAAAATCAATTACTCACCCTCACGTCTTTCCAAACATGTATTACTTTTTTTTGTTTTCCTGCTAAACACAAAAGAAGATATTTTGAAGAACGTTGGTAACCAAACAATTTTGGTTCCATTTGATTTTCATTAGATTATTTGTTCATATAATGGAAGTCAATGGGAACCAAAACTGTTTGATTACTAACATTCTTCACAATATCTTGTCATAGGTTTGGAACAACATGAGGGTGAGTAAATGATGACAGAATTTTCATTTTTGGATGGACTATCCCTTTGATATGTGGAGGTTTTTCTTTTCAGTGGGTGGAGATTGACCTTTGGCTCGAAGTGCTATAGACTGAGGGCAGATGTTGAAAAATGTTAGATATTAATGAAAAAATCTGACATTTTTAAAACCTAAAATAGATGCAGCAGGTTTTGTGTATAAATACATATATAAAAGGCTTTAGGAACTCCATAAACAACACGGTGTAATGTGCTGTCAGCCATGAGTCCTTTTGAAGCATATGAGTCCATTTTAACTGTTTTTCGTCGCATCTCTTCGTAGCGGAGAGATCTTTTTCTCTCGTCTCGGCACTGATGCTCTGAGCTGAGTATCATCCTCTCCTGACTGCTGCTTGGCAAAACTCACAAACACCTGTAAGGCAGTGAAACATATGAGCTGTTAGTCCTGACAGTCACATCTGCTGAACAAATCGAATTCAATCTCAGCATGGGAATTTCAACCAATAATTAATTTCTAATGGAAGGTCCCTAGAGCACAGCATGTCAATTTTACAGCATCAAGCTATTTTACTTGTCTGCAGTAAAAAGTGAAATGCTAAAATAACAAAGTCTTAACATGCTGCTGATAGCTGGTATGGATTGACGTGAAAGAGAGTTGTTGCTTGAAGCTTTCATCGCACCTGCTAATGACGTGATGGTGATGGTGAAGTTACCTGGTCTAATGTGGTCTGAGACACAGAGTAGTCCTCAATGTTCAGTCTCTCTTTGTTAGTCAACACCAGCTGGAAGACTCGTGCCAGTGAGGCGGCGACAATTTCGTATTGTAAAGTGTTGTAGTGTTTCTCTCGTTGTATACATCCTGGGAAGCTGCTTTCCATGAATGACTCAGCTGGGACCAGATCAGGAGGTATGCCTGCTTTTTCAGCTTTGATCTTCATCGTGACTACATAGCCACCTCCAAACCTGTCCGCAAGCACAATCAATATGTCTAAAACATGAGCGACAAAACAAGTGCAAGCTCGATTTTACATTTAATGGATTAAAGTTGTTTTGCATATCACCTTTGGAAGTTGAGAATTTAAGGCAGGAAGAACAATGAAGTTGATTTGTGGTAATGTGGGAATGGCATCCTTGAAATTAATGCTTTTAAAATAAAACTAATACTTTCCAAACATACTCACTTGTATTTCAGATGCTGGATTGTGCCCAGACACTTAAACGTCCCATTGACCATGATGGCCAAGCGAGTACAAAGAGCTTCACACTCTTCCATACTGTAAAAAAAAAAAAAAAAAAGTAAATAAATACTTCATTTTAAAAATAAAACTAATACTTTCCAAACATACTCACTTGTATTTCAGATGCTGGATTGTGCCCAGACACTTAAACGTCCCATTGACCATGATGGCCAAGCGAGTACAAAGAGCTTCACACTCTTCCATACTGTAAAAAAAAAAAAAAAAGTAAATAAATACTTCATTTTAATTTCCATGTAAGAAAATAATGAATAATACATTCAAATAAATAATTATAAATATTTGGACACGTAAAAAAATAAAATAATATTTAATTTTTATTAAAATAATAATGATAAATAATTTAAAATAAATAATTATTCATTAAAGATAATACCTGAGACACT